GCCCGCTCCCCTGGCCGACCCCGACGGCGGCGCGGGCGGGACGGTCCGGCCCATCAAGATGGAGCAAGCGACTCTGAGTCCAGAGGTTCGGTGACCCCACGCCACGGCGTCTGAGCCCGCGGGCACCAGGGCCTGGCGAGGAACGGGCGGACGCTGCGCGATGCCTGCTTGAGCGCGAACTCCCCCGAAGAGGGCCCAGTGAGGACGTCCCCGAACGGCCAGGGGACGATCCTGGGGGTGTGCAGGGGTGGTCCAGCTCCGAGGCCCCGCAGACCTCCCCTTTTAAAACCATCCACTGCCCGCCGGAAGTGGCCTTGCCCGTGTCGTGTCCTATCCCCAGGGGACAAGGTCTGGGAACCAACATGGCACAGCGGATCACCGGGCCCCAAGTCACGTCTCTTTCTTCCCCCGCCACCCCCGGGGCTGGGGTCGTTGAGGGAGGCAGGGAGGGACCGAGAAGGCGCGCCCCCTGTCGGAGACGCCCCAGACGTAGAAGACGCTCCCCCGACGGCGTCTGCGCGATGCGGTCGGGCCCCCCCACCCCGCGCACGATTGTGTTGAGCGAAGGCTCGGGCGCGCTTGCTTGTGTTTTTTTTTCTTTTATTTCTTTATTTCACATACACATTAGCCATTCAATGGAGACGCTGGAGAGAGTCAGGCAAAGATGGTATAAGAGAAGTGCGGTGGGAAATAATCCAATCAATGGAGAAGCCGGAGAGAGTCAGGCAAAGATGGTATAACAGAAGCGCAGTGACGGGGGCGGGGCGGGGCGGGGCGGGGCGGAGGGGACAGACGGGGTGGCTGTCTACTTGCATTCCGCTAGGACACTGAAAACCCAGAAAACAAAACAGACAGTAAACTACCCTTGTTTCTTATGTATCTCAGTGCAGAGACGGGGGGTGGAGGGCAGAGAGGGGGAGACCAGGCTGAAGGAGGAGGAGCAGAGGGGGGGGACGCTAAGGGGGAGCACACCAAACCCATTAGTACTATATATAGAGATACTCGTAGATACTGCGTTTCTTAGCCTAAGAAGAAACTTGTTTGACGGGACGGGCGGCCATGGCGGTCCGCGATGCTGGTGCTGGTCGGGCGCACGGATCTCCCGGGAGGGGCCGAAGCGGGGCTGGCCCAGGCTGGCTTGCGGGGATGGGGTTGGGAGTTGAGGGTGGCGGGAAAGGGGGGCGCCCCGAGGGTGGAGGGTTTGGGAGGGGAGCAGAGGCGGGGCTGGGGTGCCCCTCGGGCTCTCGATTGGGGGACGAAAGTTCTCGTGACCTTATTGCTCCTTTTATTTTTCTCTCGTGTGTGTGTGT